AAAATTTTTTGCGGGTAAGTTGCTAACACGGAAATTTGAAAATCCAGGAGGCTGTAATTTTAGTGGCGTGTTCCCTGTCCATGTTGGTCTTAATGAGCCTAAAGCCAGCCCCAAGATGTGCGTGGCTCCTATGTACGGGGCCGTGAAAGCTTTTGACGGAGAAGTTGCTAACTCAGGGACCAGAAAAGCAAGAAAATTCAAATTTTAAGAGGCTGTTCCCCGACAGTCCTAACAGCCAGTCTCAGTTCGTTTAGCTATAAGCATCTACGGAAAAACTTGTGCCATTAGCGACAAAAACCTGCAGGAACTATGCAAAAAATGCATCTTCGCACCGGCTATTCTGGTGCGCGCTGCTATTTGTTATGCGTTTTTTTGGCGTTGCAAAACGCAGCAAAAACGCATATTACAACGACCCTGTCAGTGTGCGTGTATGTGTATGTTTGTGTGCGTGTGTGGTGCGTGCGCGCTTGTGTGTGTTCGTCTGTCTGGGTATTTCAACTCGCCATCTACGCAAGCTTTGAAGCTGAAATTTTGCCAGTGTGTTCCCCGGACGAGTAACACTCCAAGATCACGGTATCAACCCCCATGCACGTCTAGGCCCCGCGTACACACACGTGAATGTTTAGACAAGAAAATCGCTAACTCAGGAACGAGGAAAGCTGGAAGGCTTTAATTTTAAGGGAATGTTCCCTAATCAAGTGAGACTAAAATATTTCAAATTTAACTCTTCCAGTAGGGCCTTTTTCCCGAACCACCAACTTTCTATTTGTCGGGTCACTGAAGTCGACATCTACAACTGACATGCCACATAACTGCACAATTGACTTCCGGAACTTCGACAGCCAGTATGTCACAGGGCTAGCTACTGTGATTCCTTGCGATCTTACGACAGCACAAAAAGTGCAAAAACGCATAATCGCACTGGCCTGCCTGGGTACATTCCAGTCTGGGTTTATCAACACTACTACCGTCGTACTGATGACGTTGTGATGCTCAGTTGGAATGTCTACGACTTAATGAACCGAAACATTCCTGCTCACTGTGCAAACCGAACAATTTAGTTGCAAAAGCAGATGAGCTTTCACTACTTGCACTGTTCAACGTCCTTTTCATGGCGAAATTTCACAGAGTGTACTGGGAGAACCTAATGTGCAAATTAGTGACGAACTGCTAAACCACTTATGCCCCGCAGATAACACTTCACAATACTCGCAGGAGCTCGTTGCGCAAAGCACACACATACACACACACACACACACACACACACATACACATACACACACACATACGCAGTCGAATTGCAGATGGACCGAGTTTTTTGAGGAACCGGATAGTTAGACTTATTTGGACCAGCAAATAACTATGAGCCGGTGAGACAGTGCAGTACAGCCAAACGTAGGCTGGAACGCACCAGGCGAGCCGGAGCGATCATGCGTTTTTGCACAAAACTTGAAT